TTTCCCTCTTCCTCCCTTCCTTCCCTGCTTCCCTCTCCCTTTTCACCAGTCTCAGTCTGCGCTTCCACCACTATTTGGCAGCCACACGGTCTGATGAAAAAGGCAGTCAGAAGAGCTGGTGATGGTTCCCACTCTGCCATTAAGTGGCAGAGGGACTGTGGGCACGATCATAAGCTACTCCTAGGAAACTGTAATCTCTCAGGCAAGAGGACAACTCATTGTTCTGTTCAGCATTATAGTCAAAGCCCATCACACTCGTGGCACTTTGTAAATGTCTGTTGAATGACTGGACAGATGAACTTTACTTCTTTGAATTTCAGTTCAACTTAGAGTGATTGGGCAAATAATTTGAGTTCTTCTCTAGTCTAAAATTCTGTGATTCTACGTTTATTTCTTAGTTATCTTAGCTTTCTCCTTAAACTAGGATTCCTCACACCCTCAAAATTACTTATATTTTGCACATTAACTGGAAGAATATTTTTGTAAAATGTCAGAAAGTATAATCACCTTGATCCTCGGAAATATGCTGTGGAATTTTTCTTTTTCCATGGCCACTGTGCTGCTGACCTAAAAATAGATTTCATTAGTTTCTATGTTTCTTCCTTAACTATATAAGGATGACTTTGAACCATTTCTGAAGATTAGTTGAGATCTTTACATTTTGAAATCAGTCTGATCCAGGCTACTCCAAAGAAAAAGCTCTAAATAACATTATGTTCCCTTTTGTTATTACTTCATTCCTATGGAGATGCTAGCAAGCAATACCTGCAAATCTACGGTTTGGTAAATAAGTTAACAACATTGAAAGAAAAGTTCCCAAGTGACATGTTTAGGGCTATTTAATTCAGTACAATGAGGATTTCTTCCCCACTTTAATTAGAGTCTATTGATAAAATTAACAGGCAAAGACAACTGCAGAAAATATCAGAAATTGAATTAAGGGCAAGGAAACAAATCACTTCCTGACTTCATGTTTTAGATGCATAGGAGTTATCATCAGATTTAGTCTGATTTTGCAAAGCACCTGGTATCCCCAAAACTGTACTTAGTGCTCCATAAAGACAAAGTCCCTGAAACTCAGGTCTCAGTACCCATTACCACAGCCAGCCTTCCTTGCTGAAACTGCTAGTCCACAGATGCATCATTCTTAACTTACTTTGTAGGAACCCTTCACAGAAGTTTGTGTAGTCTTCCTCTGAAAAAGGAGGGGGTTGGACTGAACTGGAGTTAATGAGGGATTGGTGAGCTACTTGCTGTAATGGAGAGATTTAGAACATAAACTTTTCAGGTAGAGATACTTTTCAGATTCAGATAGTGTCCCATTACCCATTTTCTCTCAGGTGAGACCACTGCTCCTATTTTCCTGGCTTATCTTCTAGTCCTTTCTTGCTAGATCATCTTTACCTGATTCTCCAGTCCAACCATTTCTCTGTCTCATATTCCCTCCCACCAAAATATAAACACTAGAGCAATGGTTTTTTTTGTTTTATGATTTTTTTTGTTTTTTTATTTTTAATGAAAAAAATAGTATATGCTCATTATATAAAATTCTAATAGTAAAAAAAATTCATCTGGAATCTCCCCACCTACAGATAACTACTTTTAACAATTTAACATTTCAGTGAAGAATTTCCTTCCAATCATCTCTCCACATCAGTGGTTCTCAGTTGGGGGTGATTTTGCCCCTCTACCCAAGGGGACATTTGGCCATATATAAAGATATTTTTTGATTGTCACTACTAGGGGATTGCTACTAGCGTTAGTGAGCAAAGGCCAGGGATACTGCTAAACAACCCACAAGGCACAGGACAGCCGCCTACAACAAAGAATGATCTAGCCCCAAATATCAAGAGTACCGAGATTGAAAAACCTTGCTCTATATAACAGAGATCATACCATGCATGTTGCTAGCTAACATTCTTATTAGGACATATTATAGATAATAATAAGAGCCAACACCTATATAGCACTTACCATGTTCCAGGCAGTGTTCTAAGTGCTATATAAATATAAACTCATTCTCATGACCTTACAAGGTAGGTTTCATTAACCCTACTTTATAGTTGAGGCACTTGAGAGGTTAAGCAATTTGTCTAGAGTCACACAGCTAATAAGAGCCAGGGTTTGAACCCAGAGTTCCTGTTTTTAAGTCCTATGCTACCTTTACTTTCCATTCATGCACAGTATTCCATTTTATAACCATGTCATAATTCACTTCATTCCTTACTGGTGGGCTTTCAGGTAGTTTTAAACTTTTTTCTCTAGGAAACAACACTGAAGTGAATATCCTTGTACGCACATCTTTTTTTTTTTTTTTTTTTTGTACACACATCTTTGCATGCTTGTCTAATTATCTTCTTAGGATAAATTCTTGAAGTAAAATTGCTGGGTCAAAGGATATACACATTTTACATTTTCAAATATACTGCCAAACTACCCAACAAAAAATGCATCAATTTATACTGAAATTTTGAGTATAAACTTCCTTGGTCCCTGGGGAAAGCCACAGACACAGACTTGAACCAAGTATCATCTCTGTTTTCTCTCTCCCTCATTCTTCCTACCACCTACCCACCCCTCAAATGACCCATGTTAGGACTTTTGTCTCCCGGCAAGCATTAACAGGGGCCACCACAGCTTGGTGCTGCCCCAGCCCTCTTTTATAACCCCACCCCTCCGCTGACCATAGAGTGAATTCTTTAAATGCACAGGAACACTGAATTCTTCCACAGAGTGAAAAGTAAGTCAATGGAGACAAACTCCCAAAAGTTTATAAAAATAGGAAAATGCCAGGCAGACATCAGTGCAGATAAACAAGCAGATTGCTAAAGTTTCAAGGTGAGAAATGAAATCATGGGGCTAGAGATTCTGAATGGAGGGCTCTGAAAAATAAAATTGCAATTCTATAATCATGAATAGATTCAGTTGAAGAATAAAAGGGGAAGGTATCAAAAGAAAAACAAATTCACTCAAGATTAGATTTTAAAACATATGCTATCTCCCTAAAAATTGCTTATTAGTTTACAAGGGCGGTAACTACATGGTAGAGGAACCTGATAGAACACCTTGACCAGGTGATCAAAATTAACATCTCTAATGAGAGGTGGATGCACACAAAATCACTTATGTAAGTATCTGAGCCAGCAGTGCATAAACTGAATCTAATCACGAGGAAATAGACAAAGCCAAGCTGAAGAGCATTCTATTAAAAATGTTCAGTGTCACTGTATCAAAAATGTTCAGCGGCCAGTATTCTTCAAAATGTCAGAGTCACGAAAGAGAAAGACAGACTGAAGAGCTACTGCAGATTAAAGATTAAAGAGACATGAGGACTAAATACAACACATGATGCTGGATTGGCTCCTGTAGGGGGAGCCAATTCCTCCTGGAGGGGGAATGTGCCTTATGGGACATTATTGGGACAACTAAGTATTAAATTAATGTTGTTTCCTCTAATTGACAATTGCAATGTGGTTATAAAAGAGAACACTCTTGCTCTTAGGAAATATGCATGAAAGTATTAAGGGGCACAGGGTCATAAGGTATGCAACATATTCTCAAATAGTCCAGAAAACAAGAAATTATGCATATATTACACATGCAGCCTACCTGTCCATCAAAGGACACAATAAATTAAATTATTATCTGATGGAATACCATGCAACTGTTTAAAATAATGAGGTCATATGTACTGACATGGAAAGATTTCTAAGACACCAATAACTGGGGAGAAAGTTGCCTAAGTTGGACACATTTATAAATTTTTATGAGCATGTAAAGGTTTCATATTCAGAAAAAAATTGTTTTTAAAATGATTTTAAAAACAAAGTAGATGTACAGCAGGTGGGAAGAGAGCTACAAAAAGACAGAAGAGTGTGAGAAGGGTATTTGCAAGAACCTGAAAAAACAAAAAAAGGATTAGAAAACTAAAGTCAGGAATAACTTGGAGAAAAAAAAGGTTAAAGACATTTTTATTTTTCCCTCTCTCAAAATTATGTTCAAAATGAAATGCTAAGTAAGAAATGATGGTCTCAATGTCTAGAGAACATAGGAAATATTAACTAGTCAAGTGGAGAGAATAATGCATTTGGAAGCCTAGACTTCAGGCCTAAATTGGTTCCTTGACAAAGTCACTTAACCTCTCTGAGCCTGAATTCCCTCATCCCTGAAATAAACAGCTGGACAAGAACAATTTCCAGATCCAGTTCTATGAAGTATGAGATGAAGTTATCTTAAAAAATAACTTCCTAATTATACCTACTGAATAATAAACTTGTTTCTTTACCCAGTGGCTCTAGCTGCCACTGAGGACTGTGGCCTTATATGCTTCTCCAGAGAAGGGACTTTCTCTTCATCTCATTTAAATCTCCAGCCACACTTAGTACAGGTGATAGATATTTGTGAAAATGAAGTTGA